TCCCTCCAAACTCCCTCTTAATATGCCCCTACAACGGTTCATGTCCACTGAAGGAAGTAACACGTTGGAAAATGACCGCTGAAAATCCTGAACCTGCCAGAGCAACATCCTTGGGAAATCAACACCACGAATGAACCTGGCTGTTGCGCCGTGACGATCCTGAATCGTGCAAGGAAACCATTCTTCGCACTTCAACACCGCGCGAATCAACGTGACTGCTGCGCCCTGACAGTTCTACACTCTTGCGAAGCATTATTCCTGGAACGCTAACCATGCAAATCCTTGAGACTCTTGCACATGTTTTAGAACGAATCTGCGCCGCGCCGAGTGTGCGCGGTGCTCAGGCGAGAACCACACTTTGAACAAAAAACCACCCTCCACCTGTTAAACTATTGCAGATGGCTGAAAGAATGCTCGCAGCGCTAAAGCTACAACCTCATTTTGAAAATAGCCCGCCCTCCATCCGTAAAACTGTTGCAATGTTTAAGCTCAAGGGTCACACATTGTGAGGCAGTCTCGGGTGAAACGTACGGCCCGCCCTACCGACACGTCTCGGCGTGCGACACGGAGGGACGATTCTAAGGATACGGAGTGGAGGACGACGGCGACGACGACGAGGAAGTCCCTCCTCCCCGCCCCTCCCCTCCAGTGCCCGGCCTGGGCTGCGGCTGCAAACCCGCAGGCAGCGCCCGAGCACGTGGCGCGTGTCCTGCGGGCTGATGATCCCTTCGGGGCGGGCGCGCTCGGGGACGGGGGGAGGAGGGGAGGAGGGGGAGGAGGGGGAGGGAGGAGGGGAGGGGAGGAGGGGGAGGAGGGGGAGGGAGGAGGGGGAAAGGGGGGGGGGAGGAGGAGGGAGGGAGGTAGGGAGGATGCGGGAGAAGGGAGGGAGAGAGGGGGGGGGGGGGGGGAGGGAGGGGGGGGGGGGGAGGAGGGGGAGGGGGTGGGAGGAGGGGAGGATGCGGGAGAAGGAAGGGAGGGAGGAGGGAGAGGAGCAAGGAGGATGGCGAGGAGGGTGCCGAGGAGGAGCGTGCAGCGCGCGGAGCAGCAGCGGCGCCCCGCAGGAGGGGTGGAGGAGTGGAGACTACAGGGGCCCAGGGACACACAGATACATAACACACAAATCCCAGGATTCCCTATAGTTTCCCATGTTTTCTGGGTTTTCGTCTTCCCCCCACTTGCAACATTTTCCCATGTTTTTTTTCCTGGGGGTCGACGATTCATTGTGCCCGTGTGTTTCTTCCCCTCCAGAAGGACGAGGGGTATGACTGTGAAGATGATGAGGACCGCGAGCACAGCCGCGGAGGCGGGGTCGACGACCACAACGACCACAACGACGACGACGACGACGAACGACAAACGACGGGCGACAAGACGGCTACTGGGCTGCGGCTTGGCCGTGACACGCAGGGCAGCCGCCCGCTGGCCTGCCCCCCTCCGGCCCTGCGGGGCCCAGGCGCCTGTTTTGCGGAGCTCCAGGCCGCCGGGGCAGAGGGAGGGAGGGAAGAAGAGAAGGAGGAGGAGGAGGAGGAGGAGGATGAGGAGGAGGGGGAGGAGGGGGAGGAGGAGGATCGAGGGGAGTTGAGGACGCCCGACCTGCTCAGGCGGCCAGCCTGAGTGTGAGTCTGCACCGAGGGTGGAGCAGCGCCGTGTGCGGAAGCCAAGATGATTGGAAGGCCACCCGTGCTGGTTGACAAGAGTGGCGGGCGAGCACTGGCTCGAGAACGCTGCGGTGCGACCGCTTCGCTCGGCACTGCGGGTGCATGCCGTGCTTGGCCGATGCGCACCACACGAGCCAGACAGAGGAACGGCGAGCACGTAAATGAGCTGCGTGGGGCACACGGGGCGTCCTCCGTGACACGTGCGGGCCGGGGTGCATCCAGTTTGGTTGCGCAGCGCGCCTGCTTTTGTCGCGGCCATCGCCTTGCTAGCCCGGAGTGCGAAGAGGCGCAAGCTGAGACGAAGCCAGGACGAGGGCAAGTTCGGACAAGGCCAAATCGAGAATCTCTGAGATCCCGCAGCTCTGGAAAATGTATCGGGCGCCGCGGCCTTCTCAGAGCGTTCCGAAACGCTCTGAGAGCTTTCCGGACCGCTCTGGAACGGATTTATCCTCGTCCTAGCCCCGTCGGACAAGCGCTGCTTGATGCTGGGTAGCATGGGCGTTTGCGCCGTCGCCGAGAACTTCACAATCCATTTTCGGACTTACGTCTGAAAATAGATGCGTCGGATGATCGATATCGTCGTGCGCATCATGTACGTCTTGACCGCTGGTAAGCAACCATGGCTAACTATGCTGGTGGAACAAAGCGAAGCTTCACTGGCACCTCACCACGATGACTGTGCAATTCACGCTCAGCAAGAACCGACTAAAAGCAACTTCATTGTCTTTAGCGCCGTGGTTTCGCACCACTTTGCTGCGGCCAGCAGGCTGTCTCTTGTCAGGGCCGTGTTGCCATGTAGTGCTGGGCTCCCCCTTCCTCCTCGTCCTCTTCCTCTGGCTGCTTTCTACTTGATTGCTCTGGACGTGCGTAAGAAGGGTGCCGCCATGAATATTAACCACTGGTGCGGAACAGGAGACATCTACCCTCAGAGTTGCAGGGTCACCTCCCTGGATCGCTCGACGCGGCTTCACGTGACCGATGAGGGGGTCAACGGAGCCAAGCTGCGCTTGTACTGCCATGCCTGCAAAACTCGCCGCACTGCAACATGGAACATGCTTATCGATACCCCTGACCATACTGCCAGCAAAGCAGTCTCACCTCAATCTTCGTTCGGCAATACTGCTTCTCCTTCTCCACCTCCTTATCCTCCTCCCTCCTTTTCCTTTCTGCTCCTCCTCATGAGCCAACCTGACACCCGCCGTGCCGTGAGGCATCGGCCTCCACGGGCCAGCATGGCGTTCCCACCAGCTCGCGAGTGACACATAGTCTTGCGAACGGCCTCTCAGAACCTTGATGAGTGCTGCACGGCGCGCGTCACCAGTAACCTCGTACAGTAAATATGCGATCGTTCGAGGTAGCAGTTGTACGCGTATCACACGGTGTGTATAGCTGCATATCACCCCCCACACGCGCAAGGCCGAGTCCTATCCTATCCTATCTTATCCTACCTCCACCTCCACCTCCACCTCCACCTCCTCCTCCTCCTCCTCCTCCTCCTCCTCCTCTTCCTCCTCTTCCTCCTCCTCCTCCTTTGTCTCCCTGCCTCCTCCGTCCCCACGCGGTTTCGACATGCCACCCCACTGGGAGGCCAGCCAAGCAGGCAGGCAAGACCGCAAGCAGGCTGGCAGCCAAGGAGCCGAGCGAGCAGACAATCCTCCTTTCCCCCTCTCTCCTCTCCCTCCCTCTCCTTCTCGCGCCCCGTCCCCACCCGTTCCCCTTCCCGTCCCCTCCCCGTCTTCGGATCCTTCTCAAAGCTCCCTCCCCTCGTGCAGGGACCGGCCGTCGTTGCATTCCTGCAGGCCTGCCACGGCATGCTCTTAGAACCAGTGGGTGTCCTAATGACAAAAACTCCGCCGACTCTGTCGGCGTTTATGAAGGGCATGTCTGTTCGAGTCGTCGTCTCCGTCAGTCGTCGTCCAAGTTGTCCCTTTTGTCTGCACCCTGCTCTTCAAGCCAGTCAGCGAGAGCTAAATCGAGCAATGCAGTCAAAGGGAAACCCCTTCCCTTTAATCTCTCCCCCGTCGTGGAGAGGTAATCCTGCGGGGGGGGAAGTCCTGGGGGGGGGTCCGTGGGGGGGTCCCCGGCAGGTCCCGTGGTGGGTCCTGGGGTTGGGGGGGGGGTCAGATACGCATCCCCCCCTGGGAGTCCCTTGGCGTCAGAAAGTACCACGACAGGCCACGAGTCACCCAAGAAGCCCTCGAAACGGTCCAAAATGGTTCTACATCGCATAACTATTGGTCCCAAACGCCTTCACGCCCTCCAGGCTGCCCAGGAGGCCGCCAAGACTTCCCAAGAAGCCTCCAAGAGCACTCCCGAGAAGGGCCCACGAGGCAAACTGTATTAATCTCCTCTTAGTTTTCTAAAGATTTGGGCGTTCTCGCCTTTTCCGCTCCCCGCCGCTCCACGACGGCCCAAGAGTCTCCCAAGAGGGCCCCCCCAAACAGCCCAAGAAGACCCCAAGGCAACCCAAAACGCCTTCGCGACGGCCCAAGAGGCAATACGACTCCAAAAACGCGACGGGTGACCCGAACTGACATTTCGAGCCCTTGGCCCCGAGAGACTCCCAGGAGGCCACAAGAGGTTCCCAAGAGGCCCACGAGAGGTCCTCAGAAAGCCAGAAGAGGCCCCCAAGAGGCTCCGAAGAGGCCCCGAAGAGGCTCCCAAAATTCCTCTCCAGAGGCTCCTAATCGTCTTACGAAGAGACCCCAAGAAACATGCCTGAGGACTCTGGCCTACGTCATCGTCGTCGCCGCCGCCGCCGCCATTGTCGTCGTCGTCGTTATCCCACTGCAGGGTCGGTGGCACCGACCTTCGCAATTCCGTTCTTAGAACATAATGCCGACGTGTTAGAGCAAAGCGGCCTCGGCCAGAAGTGTTCTAAGAGCATTTATTGCAGACCACACACGGTTATCATAACGGCTTCGCCACTGCTTGACTTACCCTCCCTACCTCTTTCCTCTGTCAATCCCTTCTTTCCCTCTCGCGCCCCGTCCCCAGTCATTCCCCTTCCCCAGGCCCTCCACTCCTTCTGATCCTCCTCGTCGCTCCCTCTAACTCCGTACCTCCTTCCTCTCTCAATCCCTTCCTTCCTCTCCCTTCCTCTGTTCTCCCCTCCCCCCCCTCCCCCCCCGCCCCTTTCCCTCCACGCTCCCTCGTCGCCTCCCCTCCCCTCCCCTCCCCTCCCTTCTCCCTCCATCCCTTCCATCCCTCTTCCCTCCCTGCTCTCCCCTCCCATCTCCCTCCACCTCTCCCTTCTCCTCCCGTGCTCAATGTCGTCGGCCTCTTCTTCGGCCCTCGAGCTTTCCGTCAACAAGTGACTGGGGCCGAGACCGCGGCCGCGGCTCAAACGAAATCCTTGGAGTCGTGGGACCTGGGGCTGTAACCCAATCTCCCTCTCCTCGCCCTCCTCCTCCTTCTCCTTCTCCTCCTGCTCCTTCTCCTCCTGGCTCCTGGTGGCATGAGGTCCCTGCGGGTGCTGCCCTCTCCTCCTCTCCTTCCTCTTCCTCCTCCTCCTTCTCCACTTCCTCCTCCTGTTCCCCCCTCATCCCCCTATCCCTCTCCGTCCGCGTCCGCCTCCTCCTTCTGCTTCCCCCCTTCCCTCCGCCTACACATCGCTCTTTTCCCTGCTCCTGTTGATGATTATGCTCTTGCTGCTTCTCTTTCTCGCGCCAGGAGGATACGATGGTACGGCGGGCCAAGTGTTTCGCTTGATACCGCCTAATATATATAGGCCTGCAATTTGGATGCCCAGCGTTCCCACGGATTGGAGGGCGGTTGGTTTCCAGCGTATGTGTCCAACCTTAGAGCCGCGCACGTTCCGAAACTGTTGTGACGTGCTGAGACGACTGTGACATTCGTTTTAACACATTTCGTTAGATTCGCCGGTGGAGGCCAAGTGGTTTCCAAAACGTGTCGTTCGCCTCAGAGCTGTGCACATTCGCCTCACACTTGTCCAACACTTACGCGGATGGAATGTGGGTCATTCTCAAAACACGGCTCCCGCCTCAACACCACGCAACTTCGTGTCAAACGTTTCCAGGAACTACACGGGAATCTATGAGGTTGTCTTCAGGACCTGGCTTAACCAAGGCGCCGCGCGTAATGGCCTTCAACGTCACCTGAAATTCCACGGGTGAAGGCGGCTCCCTTTCAAGCTCTCGCTTCAGAATTCCCCGGGTCTGGCGACAAGGAACTTACACTATAGCGGAGCACTTGAGCAAATGTACGGCCGACTTTTGTTTCTTGAAATTCGACTCTCGCTTTCGCGTTGAGCACGTTCGTCTTTCAAGTGGAGGCCAATCCACAAGAAACCTTTCACAAGAAACCCAACCCCCAGACCCCGGGACCGCCCATTGATTCTTGGTGAGGGAACGTCACGCTCTCCGTGGCAAAACCATCGAAACCCAAGAAACCCACGGCACCCTGGAGGCAAGCAGGGTGTTTCTTGGCATGGGCCTCCACTGTATGCAACCTCTGCCACTGTTTGACGGCTGATGTCCGAGGGCGTGCCCAGGGACGTGTCGGAGGGAACGCCAAGAGGTCAGTCTCCGGGGCCGTGCCTGGGGCACGTCTGGGTTCTCGCCATCGCTCGGACGTCCACTCCCAGTGCATTTTTCGGTTTCAATGCAAACTCCTCCTCCTCCTCCTCCTCCTCCTCCTCCTCCTCCTCCTCCCCTGCCCCCTCTCCCGGGTCAATGCAAACCTGGGGTCGGTCAGGCCTTGCAAGCTCCTGCAAGATCCTGCGACACCCTGCAGGATCCCGCACCCAAGCCTTGGTCAGTGCGGCCCTGGCCCTGCATGATCCTGCAATATCCGGCGCTCTGGCTGACCCCCGTTTGCATTGACACCCGTCTCTTGAGTCCCGACGGTTTCGTGCGTGTATTTTTCCGCAAGATAACCCAACAGTCTCCTCGAGGATCCTCGCCGAGAACAATGCACAAGTTCGAACGATGCCAAGGGGTGCAGCAGGGGAGGTGCCTGGGGGCGTTTTGGGACCCTTATCAAAATACGGCTCTCGCCTCAGCGCCGCGCGCATTGGTCCAAAAGTTCCGAATACGCGGATGGAATGGGCTTTGTTTTCGAAATGCGGTTCGCGCCCTAACGCCGCGCTCTCTCGTCTTCAGTTTTCCCAAATAACTGCGCTGGTGGATGTGAGGTGGCCTTCAAAACGGGGCTCTCGCCCCTACCCCTGCAAAACGGGGCTCTCGTCTGAAAGGCAAGCCCATGAGGATCGCGTCTTTCACAGGGACCCTTTCCGCAGTGAAGAAGAATAGTAACTGACACTTATGAACAGGTGGCTTGGGACGGAAGGGTGTATTGCAGGGTCGTTGGTTCATCCTGGGTTTACTCTGGTCCTTCTCTTTTTCCTCCTCGACCTTTCAACGTGCTGCTGCCACACCTTCTTCATCGTCAACATTCTTCTCAATGTTTTCCCTGGCCTTCTCTTTCTCCTTCTCTGTCTATATCTTCTGCTCCTTCTTCCTCCGTCTCATTGCGGTCTGGGCCGCAGCGGTCACCCGCGTTATGAAGTTTACTTCGCTTGATTCGAACAACAATACTGAGTATTCGGTGTCTTCGATCTTCTCTAGTGCCGCATGCGTAGGGCAAGTTCGACGTTGTGGAAGAGATCGTTTCCAGCTGGATTTACGACGAAGACTAATCCTTTTCGAATCGCTCGTGCGTTCAATGGCGGTGCTCGCTGTGCGATTTCAACGGACATATCGGCGTAACCACACAACACGCTTCGGTGTTCGCGTCCCGTTGCCGAGGAATCAGGTTAAACTCGTAGGAGGCAATCTGTGGAATCCCAATGTACAAAGACCTGTCTTACACATTTGGTGAACCTTATAGAGGAGGGTGAGCGCTACGAAATCTGATTTACAAAACGAATGATCTAGGCTCGGGAGCTATGTTTTTTCGGATGGTGCGACTGTTGAACCAACGCATTAAACTCTCGCAACGTCCATTGTGCATGCAGGGGGACCAGGGGCCGTCACCGGCAGACCATTCGCTACAAATCTCCGCCTTCCTGCCGATCGCAGCGGGCTGAGGGAGATTGCTACGGTCTAACAGCACGTCGATGATTTCGCAATGCCTTCGATGGCGCTGTGCACGCACCGTAGTGATTCGTTGCCGAGCATCTTGTCGTCCCACGTCGAACACCACGGGTGGCACAACCACACTGCGAATCAGAAGGTCGCTGGGGAAACCGGGAACACCGCACAAACCGACCTGCAACAGGCAAACTCGTATTATGAACTGTGGCCTGAACAACAGGTGGATATCACCCGAGGCCCCAATGGCAAACGATATCCCCTACACACAGCGCCGAGAGGAGACAGGAGGGAGGAGGGAAGCGGGGGAGGCGGAGGAGGAGGAGGAGGTGGCGGACAGAGGAGGAAGAGGAGGACGAGGAGGAGGAGAAAAGGTGACGGACAGATGAAGAAAAGGTGGACCAAATTCGTTGCCGTGCATCTTGAAAACTTGCCCCTTGTTCTGACTTTGTGGGTTATTGCTGGACGCGCGCAGCACATGAGCGAATTCAGAAAACCACGAATTCAAAGGAAACCGTGCCTGTGGGCAGATCTCAGCGGTGACGACATGCACGTATTCCGACGTTCAATGCACGCGTTAACGTAACACGTAATACTCTGACCCGTTTCCCTGGGCGACTGTCCTGGATCTAAACTGTTGACGTGTGCTCGGGATGAGCGCTTGTCGTTATCAGAATTGCCAATGGAAGTTCGACAACTTTGATATTTCTTCTCGGCTTGGTAAACGAGGATGCCGAAGGTACGTGGATTCCACTGCACCCGCGAGGCACGCGAATTTCGCCAACTGCCGTTTCAGAAATCGCGCTCTCCGAATTCATGTCAGAACCGTGGCGTGAACGCAACCGACATCGCTGCGCACTCATGACGCGCGCGCTTCCGTATCACAGCTGGTTGGTGGCACACCAGGGGTCCCGCGGCGAGCCGCACGCGGGGGCGTGCGCACGCGTCCTCTCACTGCGCCAAAGAAGCTCGTGCTTCCATGCCAGTCACGAGCAGGCAATAATGATGGTGCTGCTCCTCTTCCTCCTCACCCTCCTCCTCCACCTCCTCGTCCTCCTCATCCCTCCTCCCCCTCCCTCCGCCTCCTCCTCCTCCCTATCCTCCGCTGCTCCCTACCTTCTTGACAGCCCCCCTCCTCCTCCACCTCTATCTCCATCCTCTCCATCCGACCCTCTTCCTCCCCCTCCTTGTCCTTACTCCCTCCTCCCTCCCCCCCTCTCCATGGAGTGAGGGGGTGAGGGGGGGATCGAGAGAGAGAGAGGGGGGCGGGGAAGAAAGAGCGAGTGTGTGGTGGTGGTGGGTGGGGAAGCGGAGACGGGAGGATAATGACAGGAGGGGAATGGGTGGTTTTGTGTGGTGGGGAGTGGGGTCAAGACACCCCTCCCATACGCGAACTGTTTGGCTTACTCTCATCCGCCCTCCCGAAACATAAATAGTATACCCGAATCTCAGCGTATTCAACAGCCGTCTTTGGATGGACAGTTCTGGGAACCACTACAGACCCTGGGTGCGCGAGGCTGGGGCGAGGTGCGCCACGCGTGCCAGGGGCGCCTGGGACCCAAGCGTGCCAACACACACCTGGTGCGCCAGCTGCGCCACGTGCTCCGCGTGCGCAAGGCGTGCTACATGTTACAGCCGCGCCAGGTGCGACACGTTCGGGGCACGCGCAGAGTGTGCGAGGTGCGCCCGCGCATATCGGGAAATATGTCGGCCCCCACCACCCTTGCCGAAAACCAACGCACAATCGCTTCGGAGTGGCCATCATGAATTCTGGTAGGCCTGCGCACAGCAGGCACTCTGCCAGTCCCCCGCCGCCCCTGTCAACAACCAATGCACAATGATCGCGGGTGCCCGCCCATGATCCGGATCTAGCCGCGAAGTGCAGTTTGTAGTGTTTCTAACAGAGAAGGTGTCCCTGCGCACAGCAGGCTATATGGTGGCACCCCGGTAGTCCCTGTCAAGAAAGAATACAACGTGCTCGTGGGCCCCCGATCAGGATCCAGTATTTTGTCGCAACATGCAGTTCGCATCGTTTCTTTGACAGAGGTGGCGGGGGGGAGCCTCATTGGACCTGGTTTGTCTCCAGTCGCGTGGGGGAGAAGGTGTCAATCATATCAATAAGGAGCAGTAGCAGAGGCATGGCGGGATTGGGGGGAGGGATGTGGGAGGGGGGCGGGAAGGGAGGGGATGATCGAGGGGGAGGTGGATGAGAGAGATATAGAACACGACTCCCCTCCCTCCCCTCCCCTCTCCCCTCTCCTCCCCCCCTCCTCCTCCGCCTCCTCCTCCTCCTCCTCCTCTCCTCCTCCTCCCTCCCCCCTCCCTCCCCTCCCTCGCTCCCTCCCTCCCTCCCTCCCCTCCCTCCCTCCCGCCTCTCCTCCTCCTCCCCTCCTCCTCTTCCTCCTCCCCTCCTCCTTCTCCCCTCATCCTCCTCCTCCTCCTCCTCCTCCTCCTCCTCCCTCCTCCTCCTCCTCCTCCTCCTCCTCCCCTCCCCTCCTCTCCTCCTCCTCCTCCTCCTCCTCCTCCTCCTCCTCTCCTCCTCCTTCCTCCCTCCTCCCCCTCCTCCTCCTCCTCCTCCTCTCCCCTCCTCCTCCTCCTCCTCCTCCTCCTCCTCCTCCTCCTCCTCCCCCTCATCCCCCCAGCTCCCCCCCCCTGCTGCTGCTCCTCCTCGTCCCCTGCCGGGCGGCGGAGGCTCCGCCCGCGCCCGCCTGTCGCGCAGCCTGTCGCGGCTCCGGCAGCCCCGGCGGTCGGCCTCCAGCGCCGCCTGCCTCGCGGCCTGGCCGCGGGAGAGGAGGGCAGAGGGAGGAGGAGGGAGAGGAAGGGAGGAGAGGGAGGGAGGGAGGAGAAGAGAGGAGAGGAGGGAGGGAGGAGGAGAGGGGAGGGAGGGGAGAAGAGAGGAGAGGAGAGAGGGAGGGAGTGAGGCAAGGAAGGGGGGGAGAGGAGGTGAAGGAGAGGGAGAGAGGGGGAGGAGGAGGGAGGGCGGGAGAGGGAGGGAGAGGGAGAAACACGGTCCCGTGGCAGAGATGCGAAGCATGACGGGTAAAAGGAGCAGGAGGAGCATGATGGCAAGCAGAGGACGATCATGGTGGTGATGATGATGATGATGATGATTAGATTAGATTAGATTAGATTATATTAGATTAGATTAGATTAGAACCCATCGGAGGCGGCCCCGTCACTCCCACGTGCCCAAACGCATCTAGGATCGGGCTAAGCCCGAGCTTAAGTATGCGATGTGCGACCACGCATCTCGCGGCACACTACTACGTTCAGTAGTTACCGCGATGCCCCCGCGAGAAGTCGAAGCACAGCTGACTGGTCAGCCTGGCTAAAACGCTCGGAAAACCTAGAGCCCCGTCGGGCTCCACCCTGGTCCCTCGACGCGCCTCCGAAAACATCACGCGCTCCAGGGTCCGTATGGGGCCTCCGAGGCCGCACGGGTCTTGGGATCTCGACAGGGCGTGGCGGTGCCACCTGGATCCGAGGTGCGGGGGTGGGGCAGGTGAGAGGGGGCTCGTCAGGCCGAGAGGAAGGGGTGAGAGTCTCCAGAGTCCTACTGGCATCCTGTCGGGCACAGGGGTGGAGAGTCGGAGGAATTTGCGAGGAGGGGGGAGAGGTCACCTGGGCCTCACGTGCAGCCTCACAGAGCCTTCTCACCACGGCATCCTGGCGACGTCGTTTCTCCTCTGGCCCCTCGCGCCGTGGTCCTGCGTCTGGTGACTGTGTTCGGCCTAGTCCATCATGCCTCCTTCGATCTCGTGCAGGCCCGTGTGGATCAGCCTCTCTAAGTGGCCCATCGGGGCCATCCCTTGTTTGTAGTCCGCCCCTGCCTGGACTAGGGCCTCCAGCACGGGGGCCAGGTTCACTCTGCTCCCGAACGACAGCACCAGCTTCACCTTGCCTTCCTCGTAGCCGTCTGAGAGCTTCGCCATCGGCACTGCTTCGCCCATCTCGTGAACTGTCAGCTTCGCTAGCTCTTCCTTCAGAGTGCTGAGTTGTTGCTGGTTCGCGCGGCCCACCGCGCTTCCCTCTGCCAGCAGTCCCTCGAACACTCCCGCGAAGCATGCCACTGAGATAGTGCCCATCTGCTTGATCTTCACTTGGCCCTGCTCCTTGTCGTTGCCTGCCCTGCTCCTTGTCGTTGCCTGCGCGGATCTCCTCGGCGGCGCGAATCCACGCTCGCGCTCTTCCCCTCGCCTTGACCGCTGGCTGCAGCCCTGGCGACATGAGGGACGTCTTCAGCTCGACCGACTCGATCTGCCTTTGGCGGTGCGCCAGGTTCAGCAACAGACGCATCATCACGGGAAAGAACTTCTGCATGGTCGACACCTCTATCTCGTCTCCGTCGAGCTCGCTGAGGTCCACCAGCTTCGTGTCCTTCCTCGGCGCCTTCTCGTTGCCGCCGCCCTTGCCTGTCGCATTGGCCGCCTTGGCAGTCAGGGGGCCGCTCTTGCGCCCTCCCTTGGCTGTCTTCCTCGGCCGTCCTTCGGCGTCGCCCTCGGCTATCTCGGGCAGCCCCATGCATCCACGACATGCGGCCGAGGTTGAGGAAGATGAGTAGTGCGAATGTGGTGCTGCAGGGCTTGGAGATCATCGAAATCTTGGCCACATTCTGTCTCTGGGCACCCAAACAGCAGCGGAGCGATGACAGCATGATTGAACGCCGAGAAGTCAGCGATGCATCGTCCGTGTCTACAGGCAGCAGCGATGTGGTTGATAGCAGCGCGGCGACAAGCGAACGATGACAAACACGAAAGACACTGGTTCGTCACTGTCAATCTCGTGAAGTAGTTCAGTTGTCCGTGCTCCCCTCCGCCTGCGTGTGTCTGATGCGCACGTAGCGCCGCCATTGTGCGCAACCTACGGTTGAATTCCAGGCCCTCCTCGTCGATCAGCGAACGCAGAGAACCGCCCTCGAAGCACTCCTGATCCTCGTGCGGCCTTGTGGGGGTAATTGTGGGGCGCTCAAGCCAGACCTTGCGGAGCTTCGCTACATCGAACTTGAGAAACTGCTGTTTCAGTTCAGCGTCCAGGAAAACCTTCATGTGATCGTCCCCCACCGTCTCCAGGAAATCCAGGCCCCCTTGGAGTTTCCCAAGAAGAAACAGGTCGTTCTTGTACTGCAGGGCCCAGGGGTTCGCGCGATCCGTTGGGGTGATGGGCGGGGCACGCGGTGGCGCCCGCGCAAAAGTCTGGATCTCTGGGTTCTCGAAAGTGACTTCCCCGAAAACAGCAGCGAGCTCCTGAACATGCCGTTGGGGATTGCGGACGAGAGCTTGAAAGTGGCGGAGCCGTCGGATGCCAAGTTCCACGCCGGGGGGTAGCATCGCGATGCGCTTCCACACGGCTTCCGCACACACCGTCGTCACCTTCCACCTGGCCTCCGCAGCTTCGCCCCCCTCCTCCACCTCACCCTCGTTCAGCCTGCGATAGACCGCTACCCCATTGCACAGCGCAGCAGCATAGCGCGTAGCCGCCGAGTCAAGACGTCTGACCTGCTCCTCTGTCAAAACCAGAGCTTCAAGTCCCGCCAGCGCCGCTCCTATAAGACGAGCCCGAAACACCAGACGCCTCCGATCAAAATTCTGACAGGTCCTCCAGAACTTCCCCATTCCTCGCCAGCCCACACGGATCGCCGCGCATCTAGCTCGGATCTCCTCGTCGTTCCTCCCCGAAGACTGCGTGTGAGCTCCCAAGAACACCGAGGTCGCCTGGACCTCCCCCGAGATGGCGACCTTGTGGTAGTGCAGGGCCCTTGCAGACCTCTGGGCCCCTCGTCCCACGAAACGTGGGCTAACAGCTTTTTTTTCTCACGGCTCTGGGCGAGTCCAACCCGTCCCAGTGCAGCATCAAGATACTGATCTGAAACTTCCACTCGACGAGCTGCACTGCGCGCATCTGGGGCAATATGAGGACATGTGAGGTCATCAGCGTACTTCCTCACTCCCAGGTCGCACACTTCCTGGGTGACTGCGCGCCCAGCTATCAGCTCGTGGATCGACGTCGAGAGAAAGAGATCTCTCCTCCACTCAGCCGTCGGCGTCTCAAAAGCCAGCCTAAACTTCGTGGCCGCGTCTGCGTCACCCATAAAACAACCCGCTCGATTCTGAAATACACCCGTGCCATCGCAAGCGTCGACCACGCACGCTGTGTTCCGATGTCGTGTTACCATAATCTCCACATCCTCAGGCTGGTACAGCTGCTGGACCGTGTCGTTGAGGTGGTGGTGCGTGACGCTGGCGAAGGCTTCGTCATGTCGTGCTTGGTCGTGATGTGGCTCCTAGGCTGCCTCGCCCCCACCCACGCCTTGCCGAAACTGCAGAGCCCGTGTAGTAGACGTGTCCCCCTCGTCTGTGGTTTGTGGTTCTGCTTGCTTACCTGATACGTCTGCGAGAGGTTCCACCAGGCGTTGAGTCGATTGTGTTGTCGTACTCCCGCTAGTTGTGCCAGTATACACTCTTGTAGGTAAGCACCCGCCACCGCTGGTTGGTCATTGGTAGTGCGTCGGGGCGCGCGGCAGGTGAGAAGAGCACTCCAAACCTCCACCGGTAGTGACCGCGGTGGTGCTGCACGTCGGCGCCGTCCTTGGTATAACTTCGCAATTACTCCATCCAAGTCACGGTTGGCCTGCTCCCAGTGCTCCATCTCGGGGTAGAATGGATAGTCGCGGGCGGACGCTGCACCAATAAACGCCCCCGTAGTAGTGGCAATGGCCTCCACCCCACCCTCCCGTCCACTCAGTGCCAGGTCCTCCGTCCACGTTTGTAGGTCAGGCCTGGCATCAGGTAGTATGTAATGATTCCGCTTCCGTGGTCCCAATCCATTGCCCGCCATCTGAAAGCTGATCCTCCAGGCCAGATCTTCTCGGTTACCTCGTAGTGCCTCCTCCAGTTCGCGATTCAGCTCACTCTGTCGTTCCCTCTTGATGGTCATCCTAGCTTGCTTGCATCGTCGCGTACACTGTCGCAGTCGTCGGGTGCCGTCCAGGTCGCCGTCGAGCTTGTCACGTGCTCTGGTGCGAGCCCTCAGCGCAGCCTCCCTTTCTCTCGCCATCTCTACGTACCACTGCGGCCGATGTCGACGTGTCGTGCTGTACCGGGCTTGGGCAACCGTGCGGATCGTCGTCACCACCTTTTCCCAGGCTGTCTCGAGCGTGTGGGCGCGCATCCAGGCGTCCACCTCTAGGTGCCCGTCCTCGTGTAATTGCTTCGCCAGTGCCCCCTCCACCTCCTCTCGGAACTGTAGTGCCTCTTCCTCGTCATTCATCGCACGTCCCAGTGATAGGTAGTCCCAAATGTACGCCTTGATTGGCAGGCGCGCTGTGCGTGAGCTCGTAGTCCAGCTCCGCAACAATAATCATATGATCCAGCACCGCCACGCTAGGTATCGCACGTACCCGTCTTGTCAGGGAATACGCGACAGCACAGCGCTGCACACGGCACATCCAAGGGGCGGATATCACCATATGATCTATATGGCTGCAGCTGCGGTGGCCGTAATATGTCGGGCCACAGGGATACCAGCTCGTAATCGCTGCCAGGCTGTTCTGCTCCATCCAGTCGCGGTAGTGGGTGCCCGCTTGATGCTCGATGCTGCGTCCATGGGGCCCCGAACTCTCGCTGTCCACTTCTTGGTGTATGCCATCGACACTCCGTATACCCAAGCCATCATTTAGACCCGTCGCCGCGATCATCGTGGAACGATTGGGGGTCCCCGCAGCAATCTGTTGTAACTGTTCAACCAGCTTCCTGACCGTCGCCTCATACTTTGGAATACTCTTGGCGTCTGTGCACCTCGGGGGGAAATAGCTGACCACAAAGGTGAAGTCGTGCTGGCTTGATCTCACTCGTACCGCGCCAAGTCGTCCTTGTAGCCCCTGATGGACTGCCCAGAAGTGTACCAGCTGTGCCCGTCGAAATCGTCTCCGATTCAACCATATCTCCACTCCACAAGATTTGTTGACCATCGCTCCTCGTGGTCCCTGCCAACCAAACTTGATCACTGTTCATGGAGGCACACGTCATGGTACGTGGGTGCATCTCGCTGCTTCTTCACCGTTGTGCCTGCAAGCAGCACCGCATCCGCGAATCGTAGCTGTTGTGCCACCTCGAGTCCCCTGTCATAGTCGCTCAGAGAGAGAGAGGGCTCCAATGCGCAATCTTCATGCGGGTGGTCGCACATCGCAGCACCGATGTGAGGCAGAACATGAAGGCTGCGGAACTGGCCCTCATGCCCTGGGTCCTCGGGCCAGGGCTTGATGATGATGATGATGTTGATGCTGATGCTGATGATTATAATGCTGATGATGCTGATGCTGATGCTGATGCTGATGATGCTGATGCTGCTGATGATGAGGATGCTCAGAGTATGCCCAGCGCACGCCACAGACGCTGCAGCGCCCTTCCGCTCCACCCATCTCATCAACATGCACAAGACAACGATTGGTCTCATCGTGGCGGGTGCCCCTTTTGGGCACCCGCCACGATGAGATGCTCATCGGTCTTCTCACCACCAAACGCTTGCTCGGCCCTGCCACATCACAACGCACACCATTTTCGAGAAGGAACCGTCATCAACCCAACGCGTGCCAGACACATGTGCGCGGCATCGTTGGGCACCTTGAACCTCATAACCATGCCATGTGGCATCGTGCTCAGGGGAAACACGGTCATGAAACAGATCGACCCTCTATCCGTGTAGCGATTCGGAGCACTGATCTTTAGTCAGGCAACGCGTAGGATGTCGAAGCTTGATGATCTCAAAGTGCGATGCAGCCTTTGGCGAGAGCAAGGTTTTGGAAACCACGCTCCTCCACCCACCCAGCTGCTCCAACTCGCACGCTGCAAGGCCATCGTGTGCGAAGCTGCCTTACCCACTCGCCTGGTGGCGTGAACATGTGGAGTTACCTTTGGGGGAAGACGACTGGACGGGGGCGGAGAGAGAGAGGAGCGGGCAGGGCGGGCTTAAACTGTTCTTTGGGTCCCACGTGGAGGGGGACGAAAGAGGATGATATCATTCAGAATGGTGGTGGTGGTGGTGATGATGAGGATGGCTAGGAGGAAGAGGACCTGTGTAGGATGATGGATGAGGAAGATGATGCGTCAGTAGGCGGAGAGATGAGTTCCCGCCTGACCTGCTGCATCATGACGATGCCCCCGGCAGCGACGCCCCCGATCATGCCGCCGATGTAGGTGCCCACCACGGACATGGCGGCCACAGCGGCCAGGAGGAAGAACGCGAGGCCCGAGAGGAAGGAGGCCCCGTAGGAGACGATCAACAAGTAAAGGTTATGCAGAAAGTAGAAGAATGCGCCGACCAACCCCATCGAGAGGTTCACGACGTACTGCATGACCAATTTCAACACCATCGTGGTCACATTCTCGTCCCGACCACCGACCATAAAGAGGGCGTCGTACATGGTCATTCGAGCGGCGAAATCCTTCCCGGACTTCCACGCGTCCCAGAAGCTCTTGCGAACATCCTGAAGGACAGGACCAAGGCAACTCCTCAAACAAAGACTCCCCCTCTCCCTCCCCTCCGTTTTGCGTCTCCTCCTCCCTCCCACCCTTGCCTGCACCTCTGGCCACCCAACAAACACATTGACGATCCGTGCCGTCCCAAGCTGGCTGAACTTTCTGATCCGCCAGCGTGCCGGCGGCACGTGGAGGCGTGGAAGAATGCCGAGGGCCCTCTGGCAGGGTTTCTCTAGGCTTCTAAGTAAGGGGCCCCCCCATCAGTCTGGTCACACCCACCCGACTGCATCGCCCTTACTCCCAGGGGGTCCCGCGGCGGCCGTGGCGCCTCCCTGGGGCTCTCCGAGGCTTCCATGACGGCCCAGGAGGCTCCAAGACGGTCCAAGAGGGCCCCGAGACGCCGAACGATCGCTCGAAGACGCCCGCGATGGCCTCAAGATGACCCAAGGAAGGCGCCCCAAGAGGCCTCCAAGAGGCCTCCCAAGAGGGCCCCGAGAGACACAAATCATTGGCGCTCCCGCTTATTCTGCTTTCCGACGCTCCAAGACGGCCCAATAGTAGGACGGGGGGAGAAGGGAGGAGGGGGAGGTCCTCCTCTTCCTCCCTTTCCTCCTTCTTCTCCTCCTTCTCCTCCTCCTCCTCCTCCTCCTCCGCCTCCTCCCTCTCCTACCTGTGGTGCCAGTGGAGGGACTAGAAGAAACTAACACGACATATAAACTTTTGGCGCTTCGCGCGGATTTCTTGGTTCTGCGCTGGACCATCCTCCCCGGCGCGCGGCGCGCGCCAGGGGTGGCGCCGGAGGCGCCGCTGGGGGGGCCCAGCCTGGATCCAAGAAATCCGCGCGGAGCGCCAAACAATTATGTTTATGGCGTCTTTCCTCCTTCGAAGGACAGCGGCCTATTCTCTCAAGGAACGACCACTGATGTCCACTGCAGGATTCGGGGTTTGTGTCCGGGTTGAGGGCGGTCTTGCAGGCTTTTAGGGCCTGCGTCTGGTTTTACTCTGGAAAAGGTTGCAGTGCAGTATTTTGCTCCTGCCGCCGTCTGGGAAAATTGGCTTCGAGGGATGTTGGGTGTCTGGTTCTAGCGTGCCCGGGTTTACGGGGCCTTGAGACTTCGAGGCGAATCCAGCGGTGGCGACGAGGGCCTCCCAGGAGGCCGAGAAAGGGGAACACGGGCGATCGCGGCAAAAGATAGCAGTATGGGTACTTTTTCCTCCTCTGATTCTCCTCCTCCTCCTCCTCCTCCTCGAACGGTGCACCGCCTCCTCCTCCTCCTCCTCCTCCTCCTCTTCCTCCTTCTCCTCCTCCGCCTCCTCTCCTCCCCTCCTCCTCCTCCTCCTCCTCCTCCTCCTCCTCCTCCTCCTCCTCCTCCTCCTCTCCTCCTCCTCCTCCTCCTCCTCCTCCTCCTCTCTCCTCCTCCTCCTCCTCCTCCTCCTCCCCCTCCTCCTCCTCCTCCTCCTCCTCCTCCTCCTCCTCCTCCTCCTCCTCCTCCTCCTCCTCCTCCTCCTCCTCCTCCTCCTCCTCCTCCTCCTCCTCCTCCTCCTCCCCCTGGAGCGCTGCGCCCGGCGTCAGAGACCAGCGCCCGCGAATGTGCGACCCGGACCCGCCGGATCCGCACCCGCTCGGCCACGCGCAGCGGGGGGTGGGGTTAGGTCGGGCCTGTCCCCGTGCAGGGGGATTGTGGACGAAACATCAAACATTCAGGGGGACGTAAGACCTGGGTACAGGGGACTCGGAAATCCCCGACGAGGTCGTCAAAAAAATGACGAGGAAGAGCCTGCATTTTGACGAGGCCTCCCGCTGCAGACATCCCGCGAAACTCCTCCTCGTCAAAATCCGAGGCGCGGTCGTCAAAAAACGATGGCGAACCCGAGTCCTGGCAAACCCGGGTCTTACGCTCCCCCGAAACATACTCCAAACATTCCCACAAAATGCTCAAACATAGTAGAACCATTGTACCCAGACTATGTTTTAACTGTGCTTGAGTATCCCTCCTGTAGAGGAACAGACCCGACTGAAGGGTAGGGGGAGGCGGGAAGGCTTCTTAGAAGCATCCCTGCTTCTCGGACGGCGCGGGCCCCATCTAAATGTATGGCCGGCGCCTTCTAAGAAGCAGCCTCTTTCTAAGACGCCTTCCCCCCTCCCCCCCACCCTGGGGGGAAGGAGAAGCGACTCGAGCACCACCAGGGGGCCACCTCCTGCGAAGAGATCCACAATGTCTCCCCGAGCTGGGGATGGGGGACGTCTCGAGCGAGAGGGGGGACCATACCACCTGGGGAACCCCATCCCTGGCTCCTCCCGCTGGAACTCCGAGGTGGTGTTGGTGCCGGCTTACCATGGGAAGAGGAGGAGGAGGAGGAGGAGGAGGAGGAGGAGGAGGAAGGAGGAGGAGGAGGAGGAGGAGGAGGAAGAGGAGGAGGAGGAGGAGGAAGTGGAGGAGGAGGAGGAGGAGGAGGACTCAGGACGGAGGAGGAGGAGGAGCACGGAGGACGGAGGACGGGGCGTTGTCTCGCAAACAGGTGTGGTGGGAGCAGCCGCGATTCCGGATCGGCTGGGCGCGCGCACTGAGGTCTGCAAATCTTCGGTTGCGGGGGAGGGCGAGTCTGACAGATCAGGTGCGCGCTGCAGCGTCAGCATTCGTGGCAAGAGATGCAGCGCCCAGCGCAGTCGGGCAGAGTCGCCTCGCGACAGATGGGCACAGCTGCTGGACACGCAGCCCTCATGCCTGCGGGCGCGCCATCTGCAGGAGCCTGCCCCGTTGACCTGGAGCAAGAAAAAAACAACACCATAAGCATCATGTTTCGGAGCTCCGCGTGGACTTTTCAGATCGGCGCTCGATCCCCCTCTCTGGCGCGCGGAGCGCGCCAGGGGCGCCGCCAGAAGCGCCGCCAGGGGGGCCCAGCGCAGATCCAGGAAGTCCGCGCGGAGCTCCGAAAGTCTATGCTCATGCCGATGTTTCTTCTCCGATGGCCCGTGCTCAATGAGCCCACGAGCGTCGGGTTGCACATGCCTTTCGACGCCCGAAATGGGTACGAACAAATAGGCACGACGCCCAACAACAAAGATTGCCCACAAACGACAGCGGCCGCTGTTGGGCAGGCCGCCCTCTGTCTCGAATGGACGACGTCCGCGGCGACACTGACATCGAGTCCTGTTCCAAAACGAACGGGACACGCTGTGGGTCTTCGTGCCCACTCTTCACGTCATCAATTTGCAATCGTACCCAGTGCCGCAAGTGGCGGGGCAGAAGACCATGGCCGTGGCGTCCGCCACGACCTCCACGTAGGCGCCCCGGAGGCCCCGAGGTACCAGGGGCTTGCTCCTGTCGGGCGTGAGGTTGCCGCCCCCGCTGCAGGCGGCCTCCCAAGGAAGACACAGTTGCAGAAACAGAATCCGTCAGAGGCCCACGCGGACTTCTCGGGATCGGCGCTGGATTGGGCATTGCTTAAACTGGCCATCGCTCGGACGTCCATTCCCTGTGCTTTGTTCGGTTTCGTGCGTGGTTTTTTCGCCGAATGATCAAGGATGCTCCTCGATGGTCCTCGCCGAGGAAAGAACGCACACGTCCGAGCGATGCCAAGTAAAGGGGGGGGGAGGGGGGGGGCGGCAAATCACGGGGGGCGCAGACATGTTTACCTTCCGTGCCCCAGAGGGCCCCTTCAAGCTTCAGGGCCCCTGCAGTGCACGAAAGGTGCACCTTCGGGGATGGACAGAACCCCCTTTAGCAAAACGTGGTTTAGTGAAAACGACCTCGGGCCCAAATCTGGCGGGCGAAAGCCTGGAAACTGACGGCCACGGCGCCCTCTCGAGAACCGAAAACGGACAATTCACTAATCGACGTGTCACTATTGGGGGTTCTGTCCAGCCCCGACACCTCTGCTCACCCCTCCACTGTCGCCCCCCAATTACGTGACGCCCGACTGGATCGCCTTGGCGGCGCCTCCAGCGCCGCCCCTGTCGCGCTCCGCGCGCCAAAGAGAGGTCGCCCAGCGGCAATGTCCAAGAAATCCGCGGGGAGCTCAGAACGTTTACGTTCAGGCCACATTTTCTTCCTCGAGGCCTCCCGCGTGTACCTTAAGGGGAACGTTAAGGGGGTGGGGACCATCTCAGGGGGGAAACATCGACCTCGAATCGAGGATACGTCGCCGATAGATCGGCGCTGGGCCCCCGATAGCGAGTCCGGACGTTCCCAGGCGGGGTGGGCTATCGGCGATGAGGTCCCCCTCTGGCGATGAATGGGCTACATGGGGGTCGATGCCCCCCTCCCCGAAGCCTCTCTCTGGGGCGTTAAAAACCGTCTGGTGACGGACCGCGTGGAAACCTCGGAACCCCCACCGACCTCACCCGCGATCCGCCACGGCCCGGGTTTGGAACCCCGGCGGCCCCAGTCGCTCGAGACATCCCTGGAGAACGAGCCGAGTCTCAGAACCGCGTGGTGACCCCAAGTCCCAACTGCATCACCACGCGGTGTGGTCACCACACAGTTTGGGGCGCCCTGGCTATCCCCCAAACGTTGCCCCTGAGTGCCTGCCAGACTCGATCAGGAACTTGTAGATCTCGCAGCCGTCGCCGTCCACGTCTCGCCACATCGGGTCGTCGGCGCAACCCTCAGAGAGCACCTTGGAGAACCGCGCGGCCGCGTCGGTGTTCAGGACCTGCTCGGCGGCGCTTATCTTAGACTTGTACTCAGGATCGTCGAGGTGAGCCAACCAATCCTCGATGCTCGTCTGACTCATGCCTTAAATGGAACAACGAACAGCAGAAACATGAACTTTCAGAGCTTCGCGCGGATTTCTCGGATCGGCGCTGCGCCCCCCTGACGACTCCACCAGCGCCGATCCAAGAAATGCGCGTGGAGGTCTGAACGTTTATGTTCATACAATTGTTTGGGTGTTCCTCGAATTCCCTGCAAGAGCTCGTCGAACTGGTCCTGGGGCAACCCGAGCTCCGTGGAGGAGTGCTGCTCGTGCAGCAGCTGGACGAAGTCGTCCTGATTGGAAGCGGCGGGGGGGTCTGCGCTGGGGGGCAGGAGAGCCCAGCGTCGAATCGAGAAGTCGGATCGGCGATCGAAGTGAATTGGATCGCGGGGTTTCGGCAGAAAATTGGGAAAAATCGAATCGGCGGACATCGGCAGGCTAGTAGGCCTTCATTGAGAAATCGTAAGCCACATCGGAATCGGAAGCGGTCGAAATCGAATCGAATCGAATCGGAGGAATTTGAATGAGCCCTGGGGGGAGGGGGACGAAAGCGAATCCGCTCAAGATCGATCCCCCGAACCCTCCCTAGAAGAAAATAACACACATAAACATAGACTGTTGTCGTTCCGCGCGGATTTCTTGGATCCGCGCGGAACGCGCCGGGGGCGGCGCCGTAGGCGCCGCCGGGGGGGCCCAGCGCGGATCCAAGAAGTCCGCGCGGAACGCCAAAAGTTTATGTTTATGTGCTTTCTTCTTCTTCTTCGACTCCCGGGGTGGAGACCGACCAGTTTATCGAGCCGCGCCCAGTCGCATCGACGAGCGAGCCCACCTCTTCCCAATTCTCGTGCTGGCCGGAGCCAGGGCTGGGCCGCTGGGCTCCTCCTCCTCCTCCTCCTCCTCCTCCTCCCTCCTCCTCCTCCCCTCCTCCTCCTCCTCCTCCCCCTCCCCCCTCCCTCCTCCCCCTCCCCCTCCCCCTTCCCCCTCCCCCTCCCTCCTCCTCCTCCTCCTCCTCCTCCTCCTCCTCCTCCTTCTCGTCCTCCTCCTCCTCCTCCTCGTCCTCCCTCCTCGTCCTCCTCCTCGTCGTCCTCCTCCTCCTCCTCGTCCTCCTCCTCGTCCTCCTCCTCCTCCTCCTCCTCCTCCCCTCCTCCTCCTCCTCCTTCCTCCTCCTCCTCTCTCTCCTCCTCCTCCTCCTCCTCCTCCTCCTCCTCCTCCTCCTCCTCCTCCTCCTCCTCCCCCTCCTCCTCCTCCTCCTCTTCCTCCTCCTCCTCCCCCTCCTCCTCCTCCTCCTCCTCCTCCTCCTGGCTCGAAGGTCCTGGGGCGTCCCGAGCTCTGTGGAAGACTGCTGCTCGCGCAGCACCTGGGCCCCGTTGGTCGTGCCGGCGGCGGCGGCTGCGGGAAGGGTGTGCCCCTGCAGCCCCGGCTGGCCAGCCACGGTGCCAGAGGACGCCAGCGCGCACGAGATGGTCGTGAGCGGGAGCCTCATGGCAAGGCCCGGCATTATGTAAAGTAGTAGTGGAAGGTGAAAGTGGGTAATTCGATTCGCGCAGCGACGTGCGCAAAGTCCGCTGGTTCCCTGGCGGGGACACGACTAGAGGACAGAAAGAGCACCCTCATAATATGTACCCCGACAAGCGAAGCCCTTAGCAATGCCCCTGAAGAAAGAATCGAACAAGACAGGGTTCTTGAGTAAACGCGCAGGACCGTTGAGTAAACGCCAGAAGTATGGGGATCGGGGTGGTTTCTCCACCCAGGGCACTGGGCAAATTGGCATGCATGAGCGCCTGACGCCATGCTGTGCCTATGATGTACGTGCTCCATCACATAAGAGGGTCAAATCCACCTACTCCGCTACAGGACGCAAGGCCGCAATTGTGGCTGAGCGCACGAACGCCCCAGCGCGCCCTCACTGGATTGTGTTTCGTCAGCCTCTGGGTGCGCAGGGGCTCGTAAGTCCGGTGACCCTGTCGATGTGTGTGTGTGTGTGTGTGAGAGGGTTACATTCGCTCGAAGCTCTTCTGTCCCTGTGGCCAGCGCTTCCAACATTATCCTAGGACCCCAAGCGACCCCAAGAGGCCCCCAACAGGCTCCACGTGGACCACACAGTCCCCAAGGAACCCGGCAAAAACCACCCTGAGAGCTCAAAACATGTCCCCAAGGCTTTTATGCGAGACTGGCAGTGGCGGGATGGGCCAACAATTACTGATTGTCGCCCTGACTTTACAACTGGCACTGCCCCTGGCCCCCGTAGCCCTTCCGCCTCTTGCGCCTCAGCTGCTCTATTCTCAGGGTCGGCGGACTCGGCCGTAAGGCCTTCGCATGAAAGTCTCGCGCCCTCACAACGAAAACTGTGCGGGGCGCCCTGGAAACAAAGAAACATGACATGCACTGCGTCATAATGAAAGCCGATGATTCTTACTGGATGACAGGACTGTGCCGATACCGCTAGTCCCCAGATCTTTACTGGGATACATTCGGACCAGAATTTCAAGGAGAATCCAGCCGTGGTGACGAGGGATCCTCCGGACGAGCAGCGGCATCGGCATCTGTTCCACCTCTGATTTGAACTGTCCCTGGGCGCGTGGGTCACGCGGGGCTCCGCTGTGCGGATTGTCCTTGAATTTCTGAAGAAGCACTGGTAATAATGTTGATCCCACATGTCGGATGTCTACTTGTCCAATCTAAGTGCAACCCCCCCAACGCCCGTCCCACTTTTTTCCGTCACGACATAAGTTCCGGCTCGAACAGCGCCCCTGGGCCCCCGACTGCAGCAACAGCGGCTCCCGCCTGAGGCTTCCCCACATCTTGCTCACGAGATGCTCTTTCGCTCGAGACTTCCTTGACATATGCACGGGCTTTCGCCCTGGACTTCCCCCCGATTGACTTGAGAATCTCGCTGTCGTCGCTGAGGAATTATTGCTCTTTCACCTGAAACCTCCTGCCGATTTACCTTGGAATCGCGCTGCCGCCCGAGACATCCTCACCACTCCTTCTGGAATCACGCTTTCATACCGCGCCCGACCGACCCATCCGTTAGGGTTAGGTCGGGCATGATCCCCTGCAGGTGGATTTTGGATGAAAAATAACATATGCAAAAGATGCACCCAAATATCAGAAAAATGCCCAAAACTTCGTCCCCAGACCATTCTTGGACTCTTTTTGGATCTTCCTCCTGTAGAGGGACATGCCCGACTTCACGTTAGGGTCCGCCCGCCTGGCCCGCCCGATAGGGTCCACCCGCCCGTCCTGCCCGATGGGGTCCGCTTGCCCGACCCTGCCACTGGGGTCCGCCCGCCCGACCCTCCTGCGGAGGCTTGCCCGCCTGGCCCGCCTGTCTTCTCGCGTCGGGGTTCACCCCTGGAGCGGAGTGGGCTAAATTCCAAATGACTTAGGGTCGTGGGGAGAGGTGGCAGCACGCCAGTCGCCAGGTGACACGTTGGTCGGAAGAAGCAGGTAACAACATGAAGCAGGAAGGCAAACAAAGTAGATTGGGCCCAGCGCGCGGGGCCGGGACGGCAAAAGGCGGGAGGGGCGAGGAGCGGCGCGGACGGAGGCCGCAGGCGCAAGCGAAGAGACCAGGGATAGACAAGCGCGTTCCACTACTCGCAAATGGTCCTGATCCGCCGAGGGGAATTTGCGATGCATTTCGTCGAGGCAGGCGCTTGTTTTTTAAACCTTTTGCGAGTGGGTGCTTCGCGAATAATACGCGCTCAGCGAGGGGAACTGCGGCAGCTGGCTGCGCGGGAAGAGGCTGCGGCGGCGGCCAGGGGGGGGGGCGGTGCCAGGCCCGCTGGGTACGTGACGCGGCCGAAGGCGAGTGCAAGCGCGTCCGCAGGGCGAGCCGGGGAGTGGGCCCGACACAGGGGCCTAGCGCGCCCAAGGCCCGCCGGAAAGACGGGGCCGGGGCGACCGCGAGGCCAGACCCGCACGCGCACGCGCGCACGCATGAATAATGATTACGAAAACCTGGCAGGACGCCCTTGCAGCCCCACTTTCACCACCAGTGGCGCCGAGATGGGCGCGAGACTGCAACGAGAAACCCAATGCCCCAAATATCCCCCAATCTGGCCCGTTTCGACCCCGAGGTTGACCCAGGACGAACCAAAACGGCGCAAATTACAAAACGGATCCCGGAACATAGCCCTCAGACGCCCTCCGGCTATGAGCGAATCAACCCGGGTGCTGGAGGCGGAGAGCGAAGGTCATTCGATCTCCCCCCCCCCTGCGGTTCATTGCCGCAACAGTGCTGCGTGGCGTGGTTGAGGAGAAGGCCAAATTCCTCATGCTTTAGAACCTTTGGTACTGCGTTCGGCAACCTCTCCACGAACCCTTCGCCGCCTGCCGCCGCCGCCCCGTGCCAGCGTGGCTACCGGGCCCCCGAGACTAGAGGAACAGCGCAGGGCATGCCCATGCCGGTCCAAGAACTCCGTGCGGAAAACCGACATTTTAAGACAATGCTGGTTCCTCATCTCTGAGATGCGGCCAGCAGAACCCCGGGGCGGCGCGAAGTTGTCGGGGGCGGGCTCGGAGTCGAAATCCTTGAACATCTACCCGGAATCCGAGGCCTCCAAATCCGATTGGAGTCCGATTGCCCGGGCTCTTCAGACGGGGCTCGGATCGAAGCCCCCCCTCGGGCCTTCGCCCAGGAGGGGTCGGCCTCGCTGGGGCCGAAATATTGCCAAATCTGTTCTCGCGAGGCATGGCCCGACGCAAAGCCAAAAATGTCGGGGGCCAGTCTCGCCCAGGGGGGCCCGCGCATGCCCCGCCAGATATTGAACCAGCGCCCGACGCTAGACGAGATCAAGGCCCTCGTGGGCCCCGAGCGTCAAGTCTTTGAGGTCCTTCTTATAAGATGGAAACCTACCTGGCCGAATGCGTCTCAGCTGCTCGTTGATTCAGACCCGTGGAAGACCTGGGCCTGCACGGCCCCTTCGCTCCAGCATTTGGGGCCCCCGAGAAAAAGGGCCCGCGCCGACGACGAAACTGGGTCGTACTTTTCGCGGGGCCGCGGCGGTCTGGAACTGCGCTGGACAAAGAGGCATGACCGCTCGCGCGAAAAACTTGCCGAGATAACTGCAGCCAGTCCACCCCCATGTCCGGCTCGCCTCCCCCGTCCCGTTGGTCATCGGCCAGGGCCTGGCCGCCGGCAGCATCACCTCCTGGGAGCGAAGCGAGTCGGGGGGGGCGAGCTGGCCGCGGCCCCCGCTGGGCGGGGCTTCGAGCCCCGTCGCGCCGCCTCCTGACCCCGCAGCCCCGAGGCGGCGAAGGCGCCGAAGCCCCCGAACTAGCTGGGTGTCTCCTTCAATGACCCCGAGGCAATCAGCACCGAGCTCAGCAAGTCTGTCAGCTTCGCAATTCGCCCGCTGCTCCCAGACTGTGCTCTTGCCAGCGGCAAGGTCGGCCTCGGCGGCGCGGGCGAGAGTCTCGAAGCACTCGGATGCGCCGAGGGCAAGGGCGCCCCGCGCAGGGCCCCGGACAGGGCCGCGCGCCGGGGAGTCCAGCGCGCCATGGCAACCAATGTCAACTTCAAACGGGGGAAGGCCCACATTTGCGAGCATATATACAGCGTAGTCTTACCCATCTTTACTGGTCTGCCGCGGGGCTGCGCTCAGAGGTGCGGTCCTATGGGCAGCCGCGATCATCTGCCCAAAGCGGCCCACTGAAACTACAATATCTGTAGCCCACCCAGCCCTGGCAAACAAGCCGAGGCCCGCGAACTTGGACGACCCATCCAGGAAGAACAGCGATGCGAGAACTCCCGACGAATGTTGGTTTGTCCAATGCGCCGACTGAGATGGCTCCTGGAAAGCGAAAAGGCCAGAGGGGGGCGGGGGGCGCACCTGGCGAGCCGCTGGGCCGTCGCAGGGCCACGCTCCTTGACCCTCCCCTGGCGCGCTCACTCAGCCGATTACTGACACAATCGCGCCGAAAGGCAGCGTGAGCTGGACAATCGTATTGACTGTGACATAATATGCCTGGCGCGCCTCGGCAAAGCTGGCACAGCTCATCGCCGTGCAGATTTTGCCCAGACAGCCGCTCCTGGGGCCAATGAACACCTGAGACAAGACCTCGGAGGCAACGCTGGTGATGTGTGCTGCAAGTAACCGGCTTCTCTCGAAACAGCCTGCTGATTCCATCCCAGAAAATCGGATGCACCTGTTGGCCGTCTTGGCCGTTCTGGAAGAAGAGAGAGAGAGAGAGAGAGAGAGAGAGAGAGAGAGAGAGAGAGAGAGAGAGAGAGAGAGAGAGAGAGAGAGTGCCTGTCCGGCGCGCGCGCCGCCCCTTGCCGCACAAGGGTCCTGACCTGCGTCGGGGAGAGCCGCAGCAACTTAAAATCAACTCCAATAGCATTGCCCACGCGATCATGGCCCTTGAAGTTCCAGCCAGGCCCGCGCAGCGGGAGCAAGGCCACGTCACTTGGGGAAGTGGCCGATCTCCCAGGGCGCCGCGCATTCTAAAACTTGGCAATGGAATGCTGCGTCGCCAGGGCCTGGGCATTCCCAACCGATTCCCAGACAGCCGTGGCCCACATTAAAAGCACATGCCCAGAAAGCACGATCAGCGGCCGACCTTGGGCCCCAGGCTGTAGGCTGTAGGCTGAACGCGCGGGGCCCGACCGATGCGACTTTGGGGGGGCCTGCCGAGGGAACTGGCAGCACCGATGCGCAAGCCCGCCATCTTGGCGGGGGCCACCCCCGAGACACTCGACCCCCAGAGGGCCGCAGCTGTAGGGCCCATGCGATGGGCCATCCCAATCTCCGCTCCAGCCTTCTACAACACCTTTAACCTCCTGGACCGAGCCGACGACGGAACTGACCGAGCATTTGGGCGTCGACCCTCCTGGCCCCGCCCAGCAGCGCGTTGGTTCCTAGATTCCTAGCTGCGTCCGTCCTGCACGCGTGTGTGTGGGGGCTCCAGAGCTGGGAGAGGTCCTCTTCAACTTTCAGATAGCAGAGGTATGCGCACTTCTTGTGTTCCACTGGCGGCTTCAGCTGCTTGAGAGACTTAAGGAGGGATCCCGCTCTACCTGCCAACTGCCACGCGATCTGAACTCTCGGACCGCAACACTGCAAGGTAATGTCGTCGACGACATGTATCAAGTATGGCAGGTTCCGATGCTCCCTAGCCCCCCGAAGCGGGCCGAGCAAAACGTCTTAGCAAACGTCGTGCCCCCCGAGCAGCCAGCCATGATAATCCCGAATCCCATTCGGCTCGACGACCTGGGAAACCGCCCCTCCGTAGAGGAGCGCGCGTGATCCAGCATGTATGGTACAATGCCCACTCGTGAGCCTGACGGGGGCACTGGACTTCTTGTCGGCATCGAGCAAATGACTGCGGGTCACATTATCATGGAACTTAGCCGGGCCCAAGGGCGCGGAAGCCGATTCGTTGCCTGCTTGCCTACAGAGAGCTTCAGGCAGGTTGTGCACCCAGGCAGCCCGGTCGCAATTCGCAGCTGGCCCGGAGCCCAAAGCTCGAATGCGTAAGACTTCCCCCGAGATCTGCAATCGGGCTGCCGAAAACGACCCTAGAGCTTCATGAACAAGCGCAGCAGCCCTAGGGGCTTGACCCAGCCAGTCGGTTTGTCCAGGACAACCGCGCAGGGCGCGACAAGGGCGACCTCCCCTGCGTCGATCTCGAAAGGGGTCAGGACATCCAACGGGCGAAGCTGATGACACTCTGGCAGCTGCATGACCCATCTGGGGTGGAAGCCGCCCAAGCCTAGGCCCGCCGAGCGCCCGTTCTTCTTGCGCACTCTGCGTAAGAAGTACGGGCTTGCCGCGAAGGACAGGGCGGTGTCAGGGTCAGGCTTGCCGGGCGGCGCCCCCCAAGCGCGCGGGGGCCGTCCTCGGCCAGTCTGAAAACGCATCGGGCGCCAAGCGTCTAGTAGCTGCTGGAGAGCGGCCTGACCAGCCGCAGGATACGCTGGACCGTTGCCGCCCCCTCCGGTGCAACTCAAACTGTTGCTGCGAGAAAGCATTCGCTGCCTCGCCCCCAAACCGCGGATTCCTCGGTCCACTCCTTTCCACTTGGCCAGCTGCGCAGCTGCGCCCTACTTCTGGCGACGAGAGCATTCAACTTCAACATCTGTGAAGTTATCCTCGCCCCAGACTCCATGTTCCGTCGCTGCAGAGACCGGGGCGCGCAGCTTGTCCTGATTCGGCCCCCCGGAGACAGCCTTTAGGTCCAAAAGCATGTTGGCTAGCTCCAACTTCCAGGCGCCCACTGGGCGCCGACCCCTAGCTCCAGGAGGCCCCCCATTGATGGTTTTGGCTTTCCGACGCAAGGATGCGAAGGCGATCCACGCGGTGGTCTGTCGCGAAAAGCGGCGGCGACGATCCCGTTCCAAGAGCGATGCCAGCGGGGCCCAGCGCGTCTGGGGTCCAGCGGAACGCCCAACATGCCCGCGGGGTTCTTCGGTGCCATGTACCTCGGCGAGCCGCTTTTCCGATTCGACGTGCCGCTCCCTCTGAAGCCATTCGAGATCATGATCTAATGGGTCGCTCCATTGGACATCCCTCTCGGCAGGCAGCGGGCCCGTGGCCGAGGTGCCGAGCGGCTTGAAACGCACCTGCTGGTCCACGACAGCAGACTGGCCGGGGTTCCTCATCTGCAGCAGCACTGGGCTATTGGGGAAAAGAGGTGCGCCTGACATTGCCCGAACATCTCGGGCGCCCGAACTGATCGACAACGAGGCGACGAAATAGTCCAACTCACTTCCTCCAGAATCGTGCGCGACCAACTCCACTCCCTCATCTTCCCCAGTGGCAGTCCCGGGGGCACCCGCCCAGCAAGTGGGCTGATCTGGAGCTGCCGGAGCGCCGTGCACTAGCTGATGCCAGCCTGGAACAGAAAGAGCCGCGAGGGGGAAATGCAAATCTCCTCGCGCCGCCCGCGGCCGCGCACTGACGAGCAGAACGTTGCCCAGCAGTTCCGCAACGTGAGAATTTTCATCCGCGGCCCCGAAAATGCGGATAATAACGACACCGTAGATCGAGGGGCCCTCGCCGAAACCAACGTTGAACAACCGGCCTACGTTCCCCCCCCGTCGCACTTGCCAAATCCAGGAAGGTTCAGAGGGCGAAAACCAATATCAGCAGCCGCAGAGACCCCCGCACCTCCAGCGATCTGGAGCGGACCTGGGCCCGTGCTGAGAGCCAGCCTTCCCGATGGAAATAGTGCGCCCATTGCGGCGGGCCCAGCGGCGCTGGGCCGATAGGACATGGCCAGCGTCTTTCATGCGAGTCCCCTGGGGGCCAAAACCTGGAACTTGCCATGGATGCCTTCGCCCCGAGAAGGGTCACTGCCCGCCGTCCCGGCACCAATTGACTACGGTGTCCGTCGCGGGCCAACTGTTCGCGTTGGCCCCAAAAATGCACGAAACACGCGACTCGCAACCGTCTCGATGTGCTGGTGGCCCCTGCGATTTCCCTGGCATCGCTGCGCCGAGCCGCGCCAGGTCGCAGCCCGCCAGATCCAGACGAAGGGCAAGGCCGCCCTAGGTTTCCACTCCCAGCTTCGTCGGGTACGACGGGGCGCGGTGACTGCACATCGGCCTGCTGCCGAAAAAAACTTAGCCCTAGCATGCGACGAGGCGGTCGAGGCCAAACTGGTGATCTGGCTCGCTCTTGCCCCAGGTGTCCAGCGGAATGCACTTCGCTGGCCATCTGGGCGATCAAGTCGCCAGCTCCTCGAGCTGGTAGATCTTGACCGTGATGTTTTTCCTTCTCTGAGACCACGTGGGGCGCCAGACGGGGGCGAAGGAACGCGTCGCCTCGGCCGACGCGCTGCATGCTGGGCCTGGCTGAGATAGCCACTGGCCATGAGCTCGCTCTCGTGGCCGCTGGGCTGGACGCTGAAACCGCCCGTCACGTGGCGGCCCCGCCAGCAGCTCCACAGCGCCCGACCTACGGGACCCCATGCGCTGGGCCAGGAGCTCCACAGTGCCCGAGCCCTGCGCCGGATCCGTCCGTGGAAGGGCCGCCAGCTTCTCCGGGGCCGAGGGTCCACCGCTGGAACGAGTGGCCGAAGGCGATCTGCGCGCGTCCGAAGTCGGACTCCGTGTGCCGTCGCCCTTTTCGTTGGCCTCTTGGGCCCGAGAAGGGGGCATGCCTTCTGGGGGCTGACCGCCCCGCGGCGTGGGGCAGTCCGTGCATGAGTAGAACGTCAGGAAGCCTCGAACTCGCCGAGATACTTGGCCACCACCTGCTCGGCGCTCACGGCTGCCATCGCCCGCTTGAGCCCCTGCTGGAACTCGCTGTCGTAGTCCTCGGCTTGGGCGGGCCTGCACATGGGGGCGCCGGGCTGTTCAGCTGGAGCAGGGCCAGGGTCCCCAGCGACACCTCCTTCAGCCCCTTGAGGCGCCTGGGCCGCTGCTCGGGCCTCGCGCTGCAGGTGGTGCAGCGTCTCGAGCGCCGCTTGGCCCTCGGCAGGGCTGGTGACCGCCTCGTCGAGGCCAGCCAGCCTCACGGCGATCGGGTCCCCGACGTCGGCAAAGTTCGCCTTGTGGACCATCTTCGTGTGCTGCTCGGGCTCCGCGCGGGCCTCTTCGAGCTAGCTATTTCTTCGTCTCCCCGATGGTCTTGGTGAGCTTGGCCTGCTGCTTCTCGAACTCAGCGATGCGGCCGACGAAAACATCCAACTTGCGAGTCGCGTTCTCCGCTCTGTGGCGTGCGGAACTGGCCGTGGGCGGCCGCGACTCGTAGGCCTTGAACTTGGCGTGCGCGGTGGAGATCGCCGGCGGTTCGACCCATTGCACCTTGAGGAAGGCGAGCGCCTGCGCGAAGGACAAGTCCGACACGTTTGTCCCGCCTGACTGGGTGGGGGTCTTGGGTTTGCTGGCACCGCCGCCCCCTCTTCCTCCTCCTTGCTCCAGGGCCGCCAGCTGCGACTTGAGCACCTGGACCTCCTTGGCAGGGCTGCTGCCCGCTGGAGGCCCTTTGGCCCAGGCACCGCCAGGGCGGCCTGCACCTGGGCTTTGCCTGCCGGGCGCCGCAGTCGCTGCAACAGGTGTGGCTCGGGCGATCCTGGCACGGGTGCCGTTGCCGCAGCCGCGGCACATGAGCCGACTGGCCAAGGAGGAGGAGGACGAGGAGGAGGAGGAGGAGGAGGAGGAGGAGGAGGAGGAGAGGGAGGAGGAGGAGGAGGAGGAGGAGCAAGAGGAGGCGAAGTACGATGATGATGATGCTGCTGCTGCTGATGATGATGATGATGATGATGGTGATGGTGGTGATGATGATGATGGTTATGAGAGGAGGAGGAGGAGGAGGAGGAGGAGGGAGGAGGAGGAGGAGGAGAGGGAGAGAGGAGGAGGAGGAGGAGGGGAGGGCTGGAGAAGGAGGAGGGCGAGGCGGAGGAGGAAGAGGAGGAGGAGGAAGAGGAGGAGGAGGAAGACTGCACAAGGAAGAGGAAGAGGAGAAACAGGAGGGCCGCCAAAACGGCCCCAACGTTATTCAAGTCCAGGGTCGACAGCCAAAGGGGGCAAGCGGTCACACTCGTCAGAGGAGTCTCCGATAAAGATCAGCTCGGCTTGAGATTGAACCGCTCTGGAGGGGCATGACGGATGCGGAAGGATGGAGGGGGGATGAGTTGGGGGGCGGGAGAATGGAGGGCTCTGGACGGGCAGAAGAGAACTTCAGATTGAAGGGCTCTGGATGGTAGGAGGATGTAATGGCGGGGTGGAGGATGGAGGGGGGATGTGTTGAGGGGCGGGAGGATAGGGAAGCAAGGGGAGGCTGGAGGGATGCGAGGGAGGAGAACGAAAAGGAGGAGGAGGCGGATGATGAGGAGAAACCGGCGAGTAGGAGGGAGTGGGTGGCATACTGAGCGGCGACGGAGAACAAGGGAGGACTGGGGCGGGAAATGATACCCGCTTCCAGACTCAGAGAAACAACCGACTCCTGCGGCCAAGCCTGTCCTCGCCCTAGCCCACCACCCTCGCGCTGGGTAGTCGACCTGCTCTGCACATGCCTTTTGCGGCTAGCTGTAGGAGTGGACTAACTGTTTGAATTCCTCACCCTCGTCATAAGTACGCACCGCTTCCCAAACGATGACACGCGTCGGCTCCACGTTGGGACAACAAACCTGCACAATGTGTTCACACTCAAGCTCGTAACTGGAGAGGGCGAGGGACGGGAAGGATGGGGAATCCAGGTGAGCACAGGAAAACGTGGGTAGGGGGGCCTCGGACATCGGGAGGGGGAGGAGGAGAAGGAGACGAAAGAGGAGGAACATGAGGAGAAGGAAGAAGGGGAGGAGGAACAGAAGGATGAGGAGGAGGCGGCAGAGGCGGCAGAGGAGAAGGGGATGAGGAGGAGAAGGAGGAGGCGGATGAGAAGGAGGAGGAGGATGAGGGATGATGATGCTGCTGCTGATGCTGCTGATGTTGCTGATGTTGATGATGATGGTGCTGATGAGCATGACGATGATGATGTTGCTGGTGATGATGCTGATGCTGATGATGCTGCTGCTGATGCTGATGCTGATGCTGATGATGCTGATGTCGACGTCGATGATGATGTTCCTGATGCTAATGGTGTCGATGATGATGATGATGATGAATATGAAGATGAAGATGCTGATGACGCTGATGATGCTGCTGATCATGATGATGATGCTGACGATGATGATGATGATGTTGATGATGCTGTTAAGGAATATGATGATGATGCTGATGCTACAACTGATGATGATAATGCTGATGATGATAATGATGATGATGATACTGATACTGTTGATGATGATGATGCTGATGATGATGATGACGATGGTGCTGCTGATGATGATGATGCTGATAGTGATGATGTTGCTGCTGATGATGTTGATGATGCTGATGGTGATGACGATGACGATGACGATGATGATGATGATGATTCTGAGGATGATGATGATGATTCTGATGATGATGATGATGATGATGATGGTGATGGTGATGGTGATGATGATGATGATGATGATGATGATGATGTTGATGCTGATGCTGACGATGACGATGACGATGATGATGATGCTGATGATGATGATGATGATGCTGATGGTGATGATGATGCTGATGATGCTGATGATGCTGATGCTGATGATGATGATGATGATGATGATGATGATGATGATGATGATGATGATGATGATGATGATGCGGAGGGAG